ATACACCAAGGTCTGCAACTACATTGACTGGATCCAGAACACCATTGCTTCAAACTAAAAATTATCAAGAATTGCCTCTTTATTTTTCCATTATTACTTCATTGTTTAATTGCTAAACACAATTTTAATAAACTCTAATTTTATAATTAACAACTGTGTGTTTTCACTTCATGTTTTTGAAAATGCTAAGAATAAAGATTTTATTTGAGGAAATATTGGTCCAGTGAGGGGTCAAATTAAAGTAGTGTCCTGTCATGATAATTTATGTTAGAAACAATTTTAAAAAACATTTCTTACAATTTATATTTGAAATATTCCATTGTCACCGATATAGTCAGCGCTGGAAAAATAAGGGTTATTCAGTAATTATTAAAATATGTAATTTCAGTAGTAAATTGTCTACAAATACAAAATCTCAAAAAAACTAAGCAAAAATTTATTTTTTATATAAAATCATATTTGCAACATGATCACAATGTACACTATATTGTAGTGTCAAGTAGTCTATGAAGAAGTCCTGTAAAGGTCACTAGATGCATAGGAAGGTTGTCCTTAGTGTCCACTTGTAAGCTTTTAAGGTTTACGGACAAATTAGATAAAATATATAAAAGGACATATGGACAGAAAAAAATGTTTAAACTGGGTACTGTACTGAGTTGTAAATGGCCAGTATGTATTGTAATATAATATTTTAAAAACATTAACATGAAACGAAGGAATCTTCACACTTAAAAACTGTTTGACCTTGGTGTAACCAGATCTGGACCTGGTAACCCCTATATTTATAGTGAAAAGTAGTGTGGTCTAGGCACTCAAAGTCACTCAATGGGCAGTTTTAATGAGAATAATACTGAAATAGCAGTCTTGATTCAATGCAAGGGTCTTTGTCTGCTATTTCACTGTACCCTCACAAACTTCTCACTTTTATCCTTAATTTAGAACAAAAATGTGAAATTAAACCTACAACTTAAGAGGGTTACTAAGAGTGAGAGAGGACATGCCTAGTATTAAGACAATTCTGATGTGCGATTTACTGAAACTTGAATGGTGTTGCTGCGGTTAAGGCTGTATGGTTATAGTATCAGCAAGTTGGAAAAACAAAGCCTACTTTAAAGTGCTGGTTATCATCTCAAAATAGAATGAGTTAATTCCTAAACGGCTGAATTGGAATAATTATCAAAGTCAGCTAAGCTACCAGTTCAGCTTTTTTGGTCTAAAATTTGAAATTCCCTTTGAATTCCTGACATTTCTCACTTTAGTGAATAGCTCTGGTAGTTGAAATGTAGGATATGGAGGGGTCACTGCAATGGGAGGAATGGACATCTATGGACGAGATATGCAAATAGCTCTTGCCCAGTGCTTCACCAATGATCAGGGTGATCCTACTGAGCCATTGTCTGTCTACCTTGGATGTGACGTGTGACCACAACGCTGTATGTGAGGCACTGTAACAGCAATGGAATGTGACAAGTATTGGATATAAAATCACAAAGATGGTCCAGGCACTCAAGGATTATTAAATGACAGATTAATGAAGATCAGTGCATATTAAAACAACTTTTTGACCTCCAAATGCATCGCCTGGCTTTGTTCGATGAAGAGGCTTTCTGGTAGAGACTAGGTGTAATGTGGTTTGACGTTTTACATTGGGATGCATCACGGCACTGCTGGCACCATATCTTCTACACTGGCTCTAATACCCATCTCAAAGTTTCTCTGAATTTCTAGCACCCACTATCGCTTTATATGAAAAAAACTGAGCAATCTTTGCTAATTTACTAGTTTTATCTATTTTATCTCATTAATGTCGTCCAATCCAATAATTCTAATAGAAGCAAAACTCTGCACTCCTCCAATCAAATCAGAAGCAGCTTCAGGGCGGAGATGGAAAAGTGTCAGACGTGAGTACTTGGGGAGAATATTCTGCCTTTCATACATTCACCTGAGCTAACCATTTCCCTTTCACCTAATTTCACCATGCAGTTGGAAGATATTTAATGTATACAGGTAAAGATTACTATTATCAGTAGCCTTGTACTGAATGATATTTTTAGAGGGTAAATAACGCGTGTTCCCACTGACAGTCATGTTATCAATTCTGCTGAAACTCGGATGCTATTAATTTTACTAGAGACATTTCCTATCGGATTCATTTTTTTTAATCATTATTCATTTATTGCTTGCAATTTTTTATCTCATTTGATTTTATAATAGTGCTTTAGAAGTACAATTTTGATAAACTATTCTACTAAATACTATAACTTTACATACTATATTTTCATTGCAATTAAGATAATTTGTTTCTTGCAAAAAATTTTCACATGAATATTTTTGACATTACTAAGCTCATTAAGGATGTTTCTGACAGTTTCTCTGTTACAAAGAGTGTAACGGAGTCTTACCTGATAGGGAGTCCAGCTCGCAGAGTTATACGCTCACCCTTGCAAAGTAGACACAGACCAGGGTGACCAGGTAAGACGCCACCTGGCCTGTGAGTCTGTGCGCGGGGGCTTTCCAGGAAAGGTGCTCCAAGACTCAGTACAGCAGGGATAAGCAGAAGCGTGGTCAAGGGAAGCCAAAATCAGGGAAGCCAGAGGTCAGAGTAGTCCAGGAGGAAAGCCAAGGTCAGAAGCCGGAATAGACAAGGATCACTGGAACGCAGGTACGGAGTAACAGGAACCAAACAAGGGAACCAGAGTCAATGAACTGACACCCCTCCCAGGGTGAGGCAGGCTTTTATATCCTGTTAATTAGGATCAGATTCAGCTGGAGAGTAACTGACAGATCAGAGCCTTTGGTGAAGTCCAGACTCCTAGTGCTGCAGGCAATACAAGAATAAACAGGAGTTATCCAAAGTCCTGAAATGGCTCAGAGGGAAGATAGCAGGATACGGTGTAGAACAACCGCAGTTCAAATCCCCTATCGGGCGCTTCCGGAACGACCACGTCTGGCAGACTGGATGTCACGGCGTGGACCGTGACAAAGAGTCAGAGAAAGTACAGGTAAAGCCTGTGGACAATATAGGCACTATGGCCCCCCCAATCAATGAATTACTTTGTATTGATGTGTGAGGTAAGTGCAGCATTAAGCTACAAAGCTGCCACCTAAATCAGCCTCTACCCAATGATTAAAGACAGCTCACATGATAGAGAATACAAGACTGATTGTGTTCCTTGGCTCTGTGTTGCTTTGCTCAAAACATCCCCAGTCTTCTTCATGCTCTGTCAGGTTGAATGGAGACTTCTGGTTAACAGTGATTTCAAGCAATTTTTTCAGAATGTCAGTTGTCCATTCTGGGCTTTGACAAGGCCAGTCTAAGACATTCAGGTTCTTGGTTTTTAACTGCTTCGGTGAAGCTTTGTCTGTGTATAGAGTCATTATCATGATGGAAGTTGAACTTCTACCCCTCGTTTCAGGTGTCTAGTAGATTTGTGCAAGGCAAAATAGAATTGTTTTATCTGGAAAATTATTGAATTGAGTAAATTGATTTTTATCTTTCTGCATCATTTAGGTTCAGATGAATTTACTCCATTAAATAGTTTTTTTGCAAAATCAAATTGAATGAACAAAAAGGGCATGAAAATGGGTCAAATCAGTGTCCTAAAATATAAATATTATATATAGACTTTACAAATCACACATAGGTGTGTTTTCATGCAATTTGTCTCACAGATGAAGTTAAGAAGAAATAATCAAAAGAGGAAAAAAGGAGGAACTGTAAAGTATCTACATTTATATACTGCCATTATATATGAAATATAAATGCATATAATTTTTACTGCTTTTCCCTTTCCCCCTTTATTGGTCACTTCTCACTTGATCTGTGAATAAAACTAAAATTTTTAGTGGATGTCCCCTAACCAGCAATAAACTTTGCTTTTCCCACCAATCATCTCTTTTTTAGTTTTTGGTTCCATAGATAGTGATGTCCCGAACGGTTGCCAAACGGTTCGCGAACATTTCGCGCACATTTCGCCACGAACGGTTCACCACGGACTCCAGTCAGCAGACACATTCCAGCCAATTAGCAGCAGACCCTCCCTCCCAGACCCTCCCACCTCCTGGACAGCATCCATTTTGAAGCTGCATTCTTAGTGAGCTGTCCAGGAGGTGGGAGGGTCTGGGAGGGAGGGTCTGCTGCTGATTGGCTGGAATGTGTCTGCTGACTGGAGTCCACGGCGAACCGTTCACGGCGAACCGTTCACGGCGAACCATGGTGAACCATGGCGAACCGTTCACTATCCATGGACGATCTCTAAATCACAAAACAAATAAAATGGCTCATACAGTTCCTGTTTGCTTTGATTCGTGATTCATCCATATAGTGTTTTGTAGTTATAAAATCTAATCGCTGATTCACCAAAATTCTCTCAATCCTGGTCAGTTTTTTCATCCATTAGAAGCTTTGTGCATACAATTAATTATGAAAAAGATTTTTACCAAAAATAATTTCTTCTTTTTCTTTATTATGTTTTATCCAAGTAGAAACAATAGGTAAAAACACACACATAAAACAACATATTCTAGTAACCTTTGAGTTTTGGTATTACAAAATATAGCACTTATCTATATTATAATACAGTATATCAACCAGAATATGGAAAAGCATAAACCAACTTTGAAATGTATTTATTGCAGTAGGCAAAATCAATTGACATCACGTTATAGATACAATTTTATTGTACAGAAAAAGAACTGAAAAAATATATCTTAAATATTTTCAGAAAATATAACAGTAACTACATTTCAGTAAAACTGATTAAACCTCCACCTCCTCCCCCCAATCATATGGAATATGATGATGTTTTGTAATTCCACTCCCAGAATATTGCTCAGCACAAGGTCACTGATAATTGTAATCATTACCTGTACACAGTAAACATTTCCATCTGCGTTTTACAACAGAGATAAAAGGGGGAATGGTTAGTCTAGGTAAATGCATAAATGCTGGAATACTCTAAGCCCACAACCATATCTCTGACATCTATCCATTCCACACCATGAAGCTTCTTCTGATCTGTGCTCTGCTGGTGGCAGTTGGTGAGTCTCTTCCTGGTGATTAATATGGAAATCTAGCTTTTAAATTAACACATTATATTTTATCTATACAAAGGGTTGTGGGTGCAGAAATCTCCTTACGGCTGATGTTCTCGAGTGAAAATGAACCTTTTTACTTTTTTTTCTGCCCACAGGTGCATTTGAGGATGATGATGATAAGATTGTTGGAGGTTACATCTGCACCAAGAACTCTCTCCCATACATTGTATCCCTAAATATCGGTTACCATTATTGTGGAGGTTCCCTGATTACCAGCCAGTGGGTGCTCTCTGCTGCTCATTGCTACAAACCGTAAGTATTTAACCTCTAGATAGAAATGTACAATGACATCTTTCTGCTTAAGAGCTTTTTGTTTTTTTAATGACTGGTTTAAAAGAATAAAAGTCTATTAGACATTCTATTCCTCTGGTGTCTTCCTTTGTGTGCTTGGTTTATGTCCTATCCACAGGTTGGGAAGCTAAAGAGAAAAACATGGGTATGGACTGACAGAGAAACAAATGGCAGATGTGTCACTCTGCGGCCTTCATTGTGTCACTGCAAATGTAATAGAATTCCCCAAAACATTGGATTTGTATTGGTCATTGAACTAAATGAATAGATTGTTTGGGAAACTGTAGAATGTTTACATCCCTTGCTCCTACACACACAATCTCCCATTATGGTTGCAATTTTTATACAATGAAATTATCACTAAATCAGAGGAAATGTTGCTCATGTCATAATCAGGTAGTTGTTATTATTCTTATTGGCATTTATATATTGATAACTTATTCCACAGTGCTTGGTTAAATCTAAGTTCACAAAAATAATCTCAAATACCAACACACGTGTATCGGATTTCCTATATTCCCTCTTGCAGGAGCTTTCAGGTCATTCTGGGAGAGCACAACATCGCTGTGAGTGAGGGCACTGAGCAGGTTATTAGCTCTGTCAAGGTCATCAAACATCCCAGCTACCAGTCCAGCAAGACAGACAATGACATCATGCTGATCAAGCTTGCCTCTCCTGCCATCCTGAACTCCTACGTGAATACTGTGTCTCTGCCCTCTGGCTGTGCCCCCGCTGGTACCAGCTGTCTGATTGCCGGATGGGGAAACACACTGAGTAGTGGCAGTAAGTTCATACTAATGCATAAATACTTTGTGGGTTGACATGGGTTTTGTGGTTATCAAATTATTATTAAAAATTGTGTTTTCAAATAACTTAGGTGCTTACTCAATGAACAGTTCTATAGGAGGGAGATTCCATGTTAAAACTAGGTATTAGTCTGCCCCCAGAATATAATAGGACAAACTAATTAATTTCTAATTTTTTGACATTACAAAAGGGTAGAATTTAAATTTATATGACATGATCTGCATGCCGGTATTGTGGTAAAGCATACCAAAGATAACAAAGCATGAATAGATATTGGTTTTCTGTTTCTACTAGCACAGGAACTGTTAGAGACAGTAAATAATAACTAATTTACCCTTCTAGTTTAATTAATACCAGTAGATATTTGAGCCACAGACTATTTGTTCCCTCAAAGTGCTCTCTTTGTTAAGAAAGTTACAGGAAACGTTCTAATCTCATCAGCCAATCGTCAGCCAATCCATGGAGCCAATCCAATAAGCTTTAAGTGAATTCAGACTGTATTTTTCAATGTTTCATTAACAGATAAGAATGTTTTATCTAGGATTTAGTTCACATGTAACAATATTACCAGTTAATTAAATCCTGCTTTATTGTAGCCAATTACCCAGATCTCCTGCAGTGTCTCAACGCCCCAATTCTGACCGATAAACAGTGCAGCAAGTCCTACCCTGGGAAAATCACTGGTAACATGTTCTGTGCTGGTTTCATTGAAGGAGGCAAGGATTCCTGCCAGGTAATATATTCAATCATGTTTCTTATTGTTGAGTACTTATACATATTAATTAATAGATACCCATTTATATAGCTATATAGCTATTATATATTATATTTCTGGTAATGGCTACAATGAGAAAAGTAGCTGCTCACCTTTAGTGAGTTTATAAATATAGGTATACGTAATCCTGTAACTAAATGTTATGATTAAAATTATATTGAGGGGATGATATATTTATATAATAAGTCTATATATTGACACAATACCATCATATAGATTTTGTGGCGTTATTATATACATATACCAGATGAATTTGGATGTTGTTGATTATTTTATTTTATATGCATATTATATTCTCTGTAATATATGTATCAGTAATGTCTTACAATCTCTGTCATTTTCCCCCAGGGTGACTCTGGTGGCCCCGTGACCTGTAATGGTCAGCTCCAGGGTGTGGTCTCCTGGGGAATTGGCTGTGCTCTGAGGAATTACCCCGGAGTATACACCAAGGTCTGCAACTACATCGACTGGATCCAGAACACCATCGATTCAAACTAAAACTTATCAAGAATTGCCTCTTTATTTTTCCTTTATTACTTCATTGTTTAATTGCTAAACAAAATTTTAATAAACTCTAGTTTTATAATTAACATCTGTGTGTTTTCACTTCATGTAATTGAAAATGTTGAGAATAATGATTTTATTTGAGGAAATATTGGTTACACATTATATAAGAAATATTACATTGTCACTGATATAGTCAGAGCTTGAAGCATAAGGGTTATTCAGTAATTATTAAAATATGCTAATGAATTTCTCCACAAAGTGAACGTCATTTCAATCGTAAATTGTCTACAAATACAAAATATCAAAAAACAAAGCAAAAATGACCTTTTTATATAAAATCATATTTGCAACATGATCACAATGTACACTATATTGTAGTGTCAAGTAGTCTATGAAGAAGTCCCGTAAAGGTCACTAGATGCATAGGAGGGTGTCCTTAGTGTCCGCTTGTAAGCTTTTAAGGTTTACAGCCAAATTAGATAACTAAGGGTTACTAAGACTGAGATAAGACATGCCTAGTATTAATACAATTCTGATGTTCGATTTACTAAAACTTGAATGGTGTTGCTCCCGTAAAGGCTGTATGGTTATTGTATCAACAAGTTGAAAAAACAAAGCCTACTTTAAAGTGCTGGTTATCATCTCTACATATTATGTGTTAATTAATTCCTAAATAGCTGAATTGGAATAATTATCCAAGTCAGCTAAGCTTCCAGTTCAGCTTTTTTGGTCTCAAATTTGGAATTCACTTTGAATTCCAGACAATTCTCAATTTAATTATAAAGTGTAAATTTCTGATATTCACAAAATGAATATTACAGAAAGATAAGAGGGAATAAGACAGAACAGATACAGTCAATAATGCTGGTCTCTTTGAACTGTGCTAGTAACCAGCATTAGAAGCACCCACTTGCTCAGGACCCTGGGTGAACCTGTGGACTTAGACTATTCACTGTGCACACCCCCCGGAGTGAGGTCCGTGTTGGGACGCACACATCGATCTGCATGCCGTCCTCAACCGGCAGACAGACCACAGAGCACCAGAGCAACAGCTGCCAAGTCAATCCACATCCATCCTGGCTGATTCCGAGGGTCTGTGAATATTTGTGGACTTCATTGGACTGGTAACATACATTTGCACATGAATTGACCATCATTTTTGATTAATTCATATTTTATCTATATTTATTTTTAATAAACTGGACTTTGCATTTCTATCCAGTTTCTCTCTTTCTACATTGTATCCACGCTACATTATTTATTTTAGCACACAGTTCCTCATACTGTAGTGCTTATTTTGCAACTTTGTCTATACAAAGCATATTATTTAGGTGCAAGTATTAACTATCTGTTATGCTGTATCTTTTCAGGGACAGTATTTTACTGCACCTTGCACTGTTAGGAGCATTTATTTTAATTTTAATTTTTTATTTTATTTTAATCATTTATTTTTTCTTATTTGATTCATCCTCTGTTTTTATATATCACATATGATTAAGTTTTAAAATCTATCAGTTACATTTTAGAGTCCTACTTTGTATATATTTTTCTTAAAGGCATAGTACCCATTTTTGAGTCCCCTTTTTAGTCCCATTTTTATTGTTACATCCTTGAAGTATTTTATACAGACTTTATCCAGCATTTCATTTCCGGATTTTTGAGTCATATGATTAAGTTTTAGAATTTATCAGTTACATTTTAGAGTCCTACCCTTGATATATTTTTCTTAAAGGCATAGTACCCATTTTTGAGTCCCCTTTTTTTAGTCACATTTTTATTGTTATATCCTTGAAGTATTTTATACAGATTTTATCTAGCATTTCTTATCCTGATTTTTGAGTCATATACTTATTAGCTCCTAGGTCTTTTGCATTTTTTAGTGTTTTTCCACTTTTTAGTGCTTTTTCTTTATTCTATATAGGTTTTAGTGGAACCCTATCTTCCTAGTTAGTAGCTATTTAGTTTTAGTCCTCCTCCCTCTTTGCTGTGTATCACATTAGGTGTACCAGATCTATCTATATTAGTACAGGGAACTAATAGCCCAAAATAACATTTCTATTAGTGCCCAAGTGCAAAAAATGAAGAATGGAGAGTGACTTGACTTTTATTAGTTAAAATATAGTTCAAATTTTAAAAATGGTAATCAAAATCAGAGTTTAGCATATAGTCCCATCTATAGAAAATGTAAAGAGTATGTAAAACCTGTTGTCCAGACCCTGATGGTATATATTAGGTATGTTATATATGTGTAGACCACCCAGGTGCAGCAATAAATACACAATAAAGGCAATTACTTCCCTTATGTATCAGGTCGTAACAAGAGGATTCCTCAAAAGTCCTCAAAATGCAAATATAAAATATAAGATACACCTAAAAAGTAAAGGCAGAGAAAAAATTCATAGGACAACACTATATGATAAAATGTGGCCCCTTGGTGATAATAATACACTCACAAGATGTACGAATATTAAGAGCCCATCAAGGTTCCTTTAAATGCTCAGCTACAGACGTCCTCAGTGTCCCAGGGTACATGTCAAAAGAAAGAAAAATGAACATAGTACAGTAATGCTTGAAATGTAAAAAGACACTTTAATTAAAAACACTTACAGGAAGTTAAAGATAAAAATGCCCATGAATAAGTCTCTATGTCCCTCTGTTTCAGTTGGATAGGAGACCGGAATAAGCAGTTACAAAGCTCAACGCGTTTCGTCTCCTAATGGAGACTTCCTCAGGAGCAAATAAAATAAAATACAATTGTAGCAAATCCTAGAGCTGAAGGATTAACCAGCGGTTAAGTGGTCTGGGTGCCTAGAGTGGTCCTTTAAGATTTTTTAGACATTTAAAGCCTATATTATTAATAGTATTTCTTCCTCTGGGAATTTTTCTTAAAATAAATGTAATATAGAAATTTGTGGGTGTTAGCTTTCTAACGGGGTGAGGAGCAATGATGTAACACATGGTTACGCTCGCGGTGGTAAGAACGGAGGAAGCGAAGGGGAGCATGTAGGAGCCGACGAAAAGACTGACAGAACCCATGGCGTGTGCTGATCCCTTCTCTGGCTTAGGACTGCAGGGAAAAATCTCGTACATTGCAATTGCAAACCGCAACCAACATGCAACTAACGCTAAGTATCAAGTATCAAGGAGAGCAAGGAGACTTCATGGAGGTACTGTAATTGAGATATATTAAACTGACCGAGGTTTAACTGGAAGGAGGAAATAACATAGCAGCGTGTGTATAGGAATCAATGACTATATTAAACTATAATAGGAAATATATTGGATAAGGAGACCCTTCCTTTTTGGGACCTCTTGTGGTAATTTTTTTTTTTTCATCAAAGTGAATCAAAATGAATATGTGATTAATCAAGGTTAATAGTATTTACAGGCAGGGAGTCTCCCTCAACTCTCACAACTTGCTGTCTTTTGTTGTTTTTTTCCCTCGTTTAAGATATGTGACACTTTTTCGGAAAATCAAACTAACAGTTAATAAAAGAGGAAGAACAGGGAGGGAAGAAACAAATAAGGAAAGCTAGTTGAAATCAAGACAAAGTTTGTGCTTAATTAAATGAAATTAAGGCTTATAATTAACTAAGTGTAAGTGGAGAAGGGAGTAATCTCCTGGGAATAAATTATCTGTATTTAACAGGAGGAAAGGAGGGAGGAAGGAGGGAGAAAAGGGGGAAAAGGAGAAAAAAGGAAGGGAAAAAGACAATAGTAACTCCACATAATTGACATAATTACTCACTATAATTAAGATATAAAACCCAGGTGCAGGACTTTCTCTGAAATCTTATCAAACATCTAAGAAGCAGAGAGAGAGAGGGAAGGAGGAGAGAAAGTAAGGGGAAAAGGGTTAAGCTGAGTAGTTGGTTGTGCCATAGATACCCTTGGGCTTAAATAAAGTGAACAGAATATATTTGGAAAATGGCAGATCGCATAAATATCTACTAAAAAAAACAATGATCACAAGAATGCAATGAAGAGAGATAAGAAACAAGAGAACAAACCAGAAAAACTACTCTCTTTTTTTTCCCCCCAAACAAACAAATCAAACTTAGAGGGAAACGAATCGGAAGAAAGCATCATAAATATGCAAGATTCACCCCAAAGAAATCTTTCATTTAATATAGAAAAAGACCAGACTGTCACGAAGGTTTTTCTGGAAGCTGCATTCGATTCTCTGCTTGAAAAATTTAAAATTGAAATTAACAACATGAGAAAAGAAATTAAAGATGAACAACACCAAATAAAGATGCAACTCAAAGAAAATTAATTGCAAATGCTCCTAAATAAAAGAAAGATTTCAACAACAAGAGAAACTAATTAAAAAGCATGAAGAAAAAATTTGCAATATGGATAAAAAAATTGCTGAGTTAGAAGATAGAACAAGAAGGAATAACCTAAGACTACGTGATTTTCCAGAAAACATTACACATGAGCAATTAGAAAACTATATCTTGGAACTTATAAAAGCTCTTGAAATAGATGTATCAAGGTATAACTATACCTTGGAGAGATATCACAGGACATTCTAACCCCCAGAAATACACAGTTCAAAACCACGTGATGTTATTATATGCTGCGTTTCATCCAGACTCAAGGAACAGATCATGAAAGCGGCGAGAAATATCCAGGTGAGTCTTGTTTACCTCCAGAAAGAATAGGAAAGGCTTTTAATGATTACTATCATTCATTATAAAAACTACCCCATAACCAATCTGATTCAAAAGATTATTTTAAAGATAGAATAATTCCCAAAATTTCAGAATCTCAATTGAAAGAATTGTATGCCCCAATCTCCCTGTATGAAATACACAAACGGATAGAGACCCTGGAGCCTAATAAAGCCCCAGGGCCAGATGGATTTACGGGAAGCTTCTATAGACTATTTAAAAGGGAATTATCACCATATCTAGAGACTGCTTTCAATTAATTTGTATTAAAAACTAAAATACCACAGGAAAGGCTTAAGGGCAACATAGTCCCAA